TTTTCCCCCCCCCCCCTCCCCCCCGCCCTAATATGACAAGGCTGCCAGCAAGGAACCACTCAGCCCCCCAAAAAAACATTCACAATCTGCAGCCTGATAAACAGCATCTCTGTTGCCAGTATTACTTGCCAGTAATAATGCAGGAAAGGCAAAAGCATTCAATATTTCTTTTTTCTATGTGAAAAAAATCAAAATGATTATGATCTTATATTTCCACTTTAAAAGTAAAGATGGCAGACATTTTAAAATGTCTAGGTTCAGATCCAGGTAACTTGCATCCACAAGATAGGTGATGAGATACTTAGACCACTAATGTTGGTTTTCAGTAAATTTTGGAAGACAGGTGAAGTTTCAGAACATTGGAAGCAAGCTAGTGTTGTACCAATATTTAAAAAGGGAAAACAAGAGGAGCTGAGTAATAGTAGGACCAGCAGCCTGAATCAGGCCATGGCCAATCAACATGGATTTGTGGAAAATGTCTGTTCAGTTTTCTGTCTTTTTTTTTGTGAGGGGACAAGTTTGACTGATAAAAAGTAATGTCAATATCAGACTTAAATTGCTGTAAGCTATTTGATTTGGTTCTGCTTGCCACTTTGATTAAGAAACTAAAAAGTTCCAAAATCAACACAATTCAGATCTCAAAATGCAGTTACAAATGGGGAATCATTTTAAAGCAGGTATGTTTTCTGGTGAGGTTCTGCAGGGGGTGGGTTTCAGGGGCTCAGTGATATTTAACATTTTTGTTAATGACTTGGGGAAGAGAGTCATCAATGGCAATTTAGCAGATGATACTGATTTATGGGAGTGGTAAATAATGAAGGAGATTGCTTTTTGTCAGTAACCTATCTCAATTACTCGGTAAACTAGACAAAGGTGTATTACATACATTTCTGTATGGTCAAGGTACAGCCATGCCAAGGAAGGAGGAGTGTAGTGGATTTTGGGCATGGATTGACAATTCATTTGTGACTGGAGAAAAGCCTTTCTCATGACACAGAGAGTGAACAACTGTTCAATGTATTTCTTGTACAAGAGAACTAGCTTTTTACCAGAAAATTGGATCACTACGTCCCAGGAAGTTCTCTCTCCTCCAAATCTAACTTAAATAGTTTTATGCTTCTCCTGGGACAGAGATGCCTAATATCCCACAGTCTTCTGCTCTCCTTCCTCTTTAAGAGGTGACCCCTGCTGACCTTAAACACTGTGTATCAGTTATTTACAAAATTTTTTGGTACTCATGGTTCTGGTGTCTGTTAATTTATAACTGATTGGCTTGCTGTTCTTGGTTGTTTTCTCTGCAGTTTCTAGAATCGTCAGCAAAGATGTTTGCTGCAGCACAGCAGGTGTCCCAAAGTATCAATCCAGGTGAGCCCTTTTTATGCTAATAATGCTTGTTTCCCTGCAGAGTTTGTATTCCAGTTGTACTGCAGTATCCTAAGCTGTCATAAAGATTTCCAACAAGGCAGTGGCACTTGCTTGGGGGCGCTACAATCTTGAGTGCTCAAAAGGACTTTTTTAACAGGCTCTGCCAGCACCTTTGTTTTAAATATTGAAACTTGGCATAGAATGTGCAGGATTAAGTAGCAAACTAGAAATCCAATTGATGATTTCTAGTCTTTCAGGACTATATTTAGTGCTGCTTGTTCTCAAAGATTTTGGTATTTTTAATAAGCATTGTTTAGGGGCTTTGGGGAATGTTAGGGCTTGGATACACAACACTACTGGTATCAGCCCTTATACTAGAGATGTCAAAGATATGGCCCACAAAGCTGTATCTTGTCCACAAAGCTGTATCATCTGGTCCCTGATGGTGCCTGGGGGCTTGAACCCAAAGGCAGCAAGTGGGATGTACCAGATGGCCCCGCACATCACACACAGTGGCCACTCCACTGCTCCAGGGCTGTGCAGCATGGTCACAGAGCAGCCACCGTGTGCAGCATAGGCCAGAGTGACAGAGGGACCACCACATGCAGCACAGCCCGAGCGGCCAGCACACGACCGTGTAGCATCCACTCCAGCCATTCCAGGGCAGCCACTTTTTTGGGAATGCAATGCCTGCCTGTGGGTCCAGTCCAGCCTGCAGACCAGTCCTGCGCCACTCAGCCTGTCCATGGGGCTGGATGATTTTGACACACCTGCTTTACACAAGTGTGAAAAAGGAAAGGCACAATATAAAACCCACCACAATTGTAACTAACTTGAATCCTTTGTAGAATTACCCCAGGAAGAATCGGGGATCAAATTACACTGGTACTGGTGTTGTGTGTCCATAACTAATCCTGAGTAGATAAACAACTGCCTGCTTCCCCTAGGTACAGTAATAAAAGCCTACTGTGAGCAGCTACCCCAAAATAGCTGCTTCTCTCTCCACTGTAGATCCAAATGTAACTTGGATATATTGGCATATAAAATCAATGTAAATTCACACTAGTGTCCAAGTGATGTGTGTCCAGGCTGTTTGCATTTAAAAACAGCTTACTGCACTTTTTTCCTCTAAAATATAGAGGTAGGGTTTGACGGAAATCAATGGAAGTTGTATCGAACCCATAGCAGATAAGCAGCAATCAGCAGTCTGCAGAATTGGTGCCTAATCTTTGAATTCCTTGTGCGCACAAATTTTCATTTCAATTCGCAGGACTTTAGTGATCAAGGAATGCAAACTGGGACTTCATTTACTGCTTGCTTGTCATGCCTACTGTTATTACTTAGTGTGGAAATAGCCCATTTTGAATGGCTAAGATGCATCTCCAAGAAAAATATCATCTTCCCTGAGGCTGTAATTTTAATTTTTTTTTCCAAGTCATGTAGCATTTAGCTGTGGTGATTTTCTCACAGGATTTTTGCTAGGATTTTTTCCATTAAACATGCATCAAAAAATAAATTATACCAAAATATTTCATTTTCTTAATTCAGATGAGTGATTTTTCCTGAAAATGTTTTATTCCCCTGCTTAGAAACATCTCAGCTGCTATTGATTGTATCAGATGGAAGAGGCCTTTTCCTAGAGGGCAAGGAACGAGTGACAGCAGCAGTTCATGCAGCTCAAAATGCCAACATCTTTGTCATTTTTGTAGTACTGGACAATCCAAACTCACGGGTGAGTGACTGAACAATACAATAACATGCTAGTGCACTAAATGGAAAATTATACAAGATGCTTTTAAAAGGAGTCACAACTCCTCTTTTTAAAACTCCTTATAAAATTGGCTTGTGATTTACACCCAGTTGCTTTTTTTTTCCCCAAGCTTTCATGCATTTACAGCTAGAGCTAGGATAAACCTTTTATAGGGGATAAGGTATTTTGTTTAATGTAATAATCTTGTGCTTCACTCTGTTCAGTCTTTCCTGGAGTAACTGCAGTTTCACTGAGGAACATTGTCTCAGTGCTTCTTTATTCTTGTCTTGCTCTGATGTTTACGCTCTTTTTTTATGTTTCTTCTTAGATTTTAAATATTTTCACAGCATCTTACTTGTACTGAGAAATACCTGGCGCACTACTACAAACCATGAGACATTTTATTGAACTTGTATTCTTGGATTTCTTAATTTGAATGGATGGATTTGCAGAGGGAAAAAAGTGCCCTCAGTAGCTAATACATACTTAATGTTGCACTATTATTTGTATCCAAGTAGTACCCAAGGGCTTTGGTCACAGTGAGTGCATCTACACGTCACCCTACAGTGATGTAGCAACATGCTATGGTAATATATGGCGTGCTATGGTGACGTAGCAATCGCACGGGTTTACACATGATCACCTGCTATGTCGCTGTAGCGGCGCGCTCCCTGCTTATAGTGCTCCACTACGGCAACATAATACCCACCTGTACTTTGCTGTGCTTTAGTACTTCTAAAAGGAAGTACTAAAGCACAGCGCCATAGCAACATCGCCGTGCAGCGTTGTGTAGATGTGCGCAGTAAGCCTCGTTTTTCTAAGTGCTGTACACAAATGTAGCATGCTAGTGTTTCATGTACAAAATGGGTGACAGCTGGCTGAATGCCAACACTACAAGGATCTAGGAATCTTGGTTGATCACATACTCAGTATGAGTATGCAATGTGATGCAACTGCTCAGAAGGTAAATGTGGTTTTGGGATGGATCAGTAGAAGCATTCATTGCAAGACATGGGAAGTGATATTGCTTCTCTACTTGGCACTGGTTAGGTCTCATCTATGGCACTGACAAAAGTAGTGGGGGGAAAAAAGAAACAGCTCTTTACTGGAAGAGGGAGTGCCTTAGTTTGACCCTGCTCCCCAGCATCTATATAGATTGGGTACTTTAGTGGGGCTTTTTGGTCCTTTTATCTAATAGCTGATTCAATCAGCTCTTAGTTAAAAGGACCAAAATGCCTCACTGAAGTGCCCCGTCTATACAGACGTTGGGTGAACCGGGTCAAACTAATGCAGTGCCTCTTTTGGGCATGCCAAGCTGAAAAGAAAATGCTGGGGCTTTTTCACATCTGTAAGCAGCCCTAGGGTATTGTGTTCAGTTTTGGGCTCCACATTTTAAAAAGGACATGGAGAGGTTAGAGAAGATCCAGAGGTGGGCAATGAAGATGATCAAGGGCTTTGAAGGCAAGTCATACGAGGAGAGGCTGAAGGAACTAGGCATGTTCACTTTTGGAAAAGGTGCTTAAGAAGGGCCATGGTAGCAGTCTTCAAATACTTGAAGGGCTCCCATAAAGGAGAGGGAAAATGCCTTTTCTCTTTTGTTGCAGAGATTAGGACAAGGACCAATGGCTTGAAGTTACAACAGTGTAGGTTTCAGTTTGATATTAGGGAAAACTTCCTCGCTGTTACAACAGTAAGGCAGTGGAATAGACTGCCTAGGGAAGTTGTGGACTCCCCATCATTGGAGGTATTCAAAAAGAGGTAGAATAGGCATTGGCCAGGGACAATCTAGGTGTAGCTATCTACGCCTGTGTTCTGCTTTGGGTATTTCCCATACTTCTGGGCTTTGCTGGTTACCAGATGGGACCAGAAAGGAAAAATCCCTGAAACGTGTAGCAAAGTAAGAGGGGGAAAATCCTAAGCCTTCCTTCAGAAGCACCGGTGTTGCCTGCATCCAGGGTTAAGGATTTTGATTGGGATGTGCCAGTGCTCCTGCTGGGAATTTAAACCTGGAATTCCTGGCTAAATTTCTAGCCCATCCTCTCACAGTTATATCAACTGTTGTATTTGGGGTGAGGAAGGCATCTTACCCCATGGTCAGATTGGTATGGACTGGTGTTGTTTGCCTTTCTCTGGAGCTGGGGGTTTGGCCATCTTGGTTTGCTCAGCTGTATTCTAACAACTCTTGCAGCATCAAATTGTTGGCTGCTATGGCCCCCCAGCTTTTACCTGTAGCAAATTAGGGTGTTACATCTTGTGGTTGTCAGGGTTGACTATAGTTTTGCTAATAGTTTAGACAGTGGATTTGTATAGGATGGCTTGGATAGAGAGAGTGCCTCAGGCAGGAAGTTGGGCTAGATGACCTCTGGAGGTCCCTTATAGCCCTACAGCTGTGTGATTCATGTGTAACTATCTCTTAAGTCAGTGTTTCCCAACCAGTGTGCCATGGCACAAAGAAATAAGAAATAACCAGGTGTGCTGTGGAGTTTTGCTATGGCAATGAGCTACAATAGGAATGAGGATGGGGAATGCCTTAACAGGTACGCCGCGGAAAACTTTTATTAATGTAAGCGTCTTGGGCTGGGAAAGGCTTGGAAATGGTCTTAAATTATGACTGTGCCAGCAACTAGGTAGGAAGTCTGGTTCAACAAAACAGCATTCACATTGCACAAGCTAAAATATGGGCCCTCCTTGTCTTGTTCTAGTCTTTCTTGTCCTGGCAGAGAGGAGGTTACATTATTAGAAAGTTCCAGCCAATTCCAAGATATTGACCAACTCTAAAAGGAAGCCCCTGGCATTTCTGACTCCTTAGCTAGGATTGTGGTCATAATTGAAGAGAGTGCTGAAACCTTCCATTACAGTTACGACTTGCATCCCTCTTAAATCATTGGATTTTTTTTCAGGTATACTTCCACTTACTACTTTCACAGTACACCAAGAGCTTCAAAATAATTAATTAAGAACTCTCTTTAACCAAGTTGTACTTAGGCTTTTGTATCTCAATTTTTACAGTGAGGAAATAGAGCTTTTGAAAAATGAGTTACCTGTTGCTGACTGTCCAGTAACACCTTGGCTCTCATTTACAGGATTCCATTTTGGACATTAAAGTACCAATATTCAAAGGACCTGGAGAAATGCCTGAAATCAGATCGTATATGGAAGAGTTCCCTTTCCCATTCTACATAATCCTCAGGGATGTGAATGCCCTCCCAGAGACTCTCAGTGATGCACTCCGACAGTGGTTTGAACTCGTGACTGCTTCAGACAGCTTGTAGAATTTAGCTGTCTGAATTTGTGATTGCTGCTAAATGACTGAAATGTGATTGTGTTTGTTCAGTGACTTCCTGAGGCCTCTTTCTAAACCAGGATTAATATGCAGGAATTGCCTTCTGAAATCCAGAGAGCCTAGAAAAGAAATCTCTAAGTGCTCCTCTCCCCCATTTACCAGTGCAGAAGACTATGCAATGGGGAAACTTTGTTCACTTCTTCCTTTGCCTAACCCCATCAGCAATGCAGATCCTTCCTCAGCCTCTGCTGTAATAATTTATTATTTTTAAAATTTCTATTTGTCATCTTCATATCATAGTGCCAGGGATGTCAGACTCCCAGGGCCTCACAGGCAAGATCTGGACCCATGACTTGTGGCAGAGCAAGCAGTGACATTGTTAACCACCACAGGTTCCTGAGCCACAGGGATTAACTCACTTGTCACTCACCCCTCTGCCACCAACACACATCTCCAACAGGGCCCTATATGC